GGGGGGGGGGGGGGGGGCTATGCACGGCCTCCCCGGGCGCCAAAGCAGGCGGCAGAGGGGGCGACGCCTGCCCCCCCCTTCCAGGTCGCCCCTCCCGTCACCTGTCGAGGCGACCTGAGGGGGCCTAGTGCGTGCGGCCCCCGAAGGAGCCGCGATAGGTGACGGGAAAAGGGGGGTGAGCGGTGCACGTGCCCCCGATGTGCCGCGGCTGGCGACAGGGCATGGCCGGGGCGTGGTCGGGGCCGCAAGTGGGCGGGGCCGCAGGTGGCATCGAGGCCGCATGATGCTATGTCTACACTACAACTGCAAACTATTATATAAAATATGTAACCATATTTTGACATGGGCGCGATGCGCGCCTCTCCCGCCGGCCTCCTACTGCTCGCCCTTGCCCTCATCTGTGAAGAAATGAGGAATGTGAAATGACAGAAGAGGAGGTTCACTAGCAAACATTGGGATACATATAGCAAACCCTAAAGGGTTGTACTCACTATAGAGTACCCCACTACAGACTAGAGAAACATAATATTCTGACACACCCCCATAGTCAAAGTGGGGTGTAATCAGCACAGCAAGCAAAGCAGAACAAGCTCAGGGTGGATCACAATGTCACCACACATTCTGAGCACAAGTACAAGAAGCAACAGTTTAAAGTTCACAAATGTAAGCAAAGCTAGAGGCTATCGCAGAGGGCAAGTGTGGAGGAGGAGGGACTATGAGAGGAGAGGAGGTAGTGGGCGGCAGCTGAAGCTGCTGGCACACGGCGCAAATGGAGCAACTGGCACACAGGCAACTGGAGCAACTAGCACATTGGCAACTGGAGCAACTGGCACACGGGCTACTGGAGTAACTGGCTCCGCGGCTAACTCTAGGCGGCAGGAGCAACGGACTCACGGGCGACTGGAGCAACGGGCTCACGGGCGACTGGCGCAACGTGCTCACGGGCGACTGGTGCAACGGTCTCACGGGCGACTGGAGCTGCTGGCTTCATAGCGGCCACCCCCTTCAACCTCCCCAAACTATCCCACCCCCATTTCACACACCCTCTACTGCACCCCTAGGTTCACTCACACCCCACCCCCTAGCACCACTCCGTCGACTCCCACACACCCACCCCCCTCAGCGGCAGCTGCAGCAGTGGGAGACAGAGGAGGAGGAGGAGCAAGGGAGACCACACACCCGCCACCCCCCACTCGCCACCCCCAAACCCTAACACAAGGCAGGGCGGGATGGCGGGTAGGGAGGTTAGGGGGGGGGGGGGAGGGGGGGGGGGGGGGCGACGCGCGGCCTCCCAGGGCGCCAAAGCAGGCGGCAGAAGGGGCGACGCTCGCACGCGGCCCCCTCAGGTCGCCTCGACAGGCGACGGGAAAAGGGGGGGGGGGGGCGGTGCACGTGCCCCCGGTGCGCCGCGGCTGGCGACGGGGCATGGCCGGGGCGGGGCCGGGGCCACAAGTGGCGGCGACGGGGCCGCTGGAGGCGGCGATGGGGCCGCTGGCGGCGACGACGGGGCCGCTGGCGGCGGTGACGGGGCCGATAGGAGCGGCGACGGGGCCGCTAGGGTCGGCGACGAGGCCGCTGGCGGCAGCAACGGGGCCGCTGGCGGCGGCGACGGGGCCGATAGGAGCGGCGACGGGGCCGCTAGGGTCGGCGACGGGGCCACTGGTGGCGGCGACGGGGCCGCTGGCGGTGGCGACGGGGCCGATAGGAGCGGCGACGGGGCCGCTAGGGTCGGCGACGGGGCCGCTGGCGGCGTCGACGGGGCCGATAGGGGCGGCGACGGGGCCGCGAAGGGGCCGCGAGGGGCCTGGAAGGGCGGCGACGGGCCGCGAAAGGGGCGGCGACGGGGCCGCGAGGGGCCTGGAAGGGCGGCAACGGGGCCGCGAAGGGGCCGCGAAGGGGCCTGGAAGGGCGGCAACGGGGCCGCTAAGAGTAGCGCGAGGGGCACGCCACGGGGCGTGCCGAACACAGAGTAGCTGCGGAACCAGTTAGGTGGGACCACAGGCCAGGAGCGTAGATGCTCTGATAGCATGTGAAGAAATGAGGAATGTGAAATGAGAGAAGAGGAGGTTCACTAGCAAACATTGGGATACATATAGCAAACCCTAAAGGGTTGTACTCACTATAGAGTACCCCACTGTAGACTAGAGAAACATAATATTCTGACATCATCGCCGATCAGTTTGCCTTTGACTTTGCCTTGATCCGTAGGTATGTTTTGAGTCGACTCGAAGGCACCTGCTGCTCGCCCTTCCTTTCATCGCTAGTCAGTCTGCTGCTCTCCCATTCCTGTGATCCCTAAGCCTTTTTTCCTGTTCCCTCTGCCTCCCCTGCTCGCTTCGTTTTCCACACCCTCCATCTCATCGCGGAAAAGGAAATTTGTGATTTGGGGGGTCCGAAGGTTTTTATGCGGAAAACCTGTGACTTAGTTGCACGAAGTGTACAAAAAACAACGCACGCAAAATGCAACAATCCGCACACCAGTTTCGAAGGTTTTGACTGAAACAAAACTGTCACGCAAAAGTTGCATTTTCGTCCACATTTTCGCGTCATGCGGTGACGCACGGTCGACAAAGATTACATGCGGTTAAGAGCTTTGACAGTGTTTGTGATTTGTAACAGCAGAACAAACGAAACAAAGCGACGCAACGAAACCGAGCGAATTTGTACAGTTGGAAACCCGCTTTTCGTTTTTTCCAAATCTGAACCCAAACCAACCCACCCCAAACCTCAGACAGTGGATGGCTTCTTCAGAAGTGTGACGTGTGAGCCTAAAAATCATTTACACCCAATCCGCACACGCCGAATTATACACGTCAGCCACCCAACCAAGGCAAACCCAACGTCCACCGAATGCGCTCTCACCTTTCCTCGAGAATCCATCTCCCACGATTCCCCTCTATGCCTGTAATCCCCCGTACTAATACACACAACCAACCTCGTTCTTCCCCCCTTGCTCATTTTTCCCTTTGATGTGCTCCATATGCGCGCTCAAAATTCCTTTAATCCGACAACTATGTGGCGTTTAAGAACGCACTGACTATGTTGCGGTCGCCAAGTTAGTAGCCTAATTTGTTTTTCCATCTTTGTCCCTTTTGCATATCCCACGCCTTTTCAGACGGCGGCTTCGTTCCGCCATCAACGTCGTGCTGCAGCAGCTTCGCTGGCTGCTGGGGTACACGTGAGTCGCGGCGAGGAACTACATTGTCACGCAACAGTGCAGGTACGTTTACAGTTCTCGTCTTGCATGTGAAGCTGTCCATTAATTTTATCGTGAAGTTTTAATTTTGATGTGTCACCCATTTTTATATGCATCGATCCCGTTTCTCCTTTCCTGTCACGCATCCTTTTCAGGATTTCCTGGAGTACGCAATGAACGCAAGTGACAGGCTACTCGCTGAGGGGATGCACGCAAGTAGCGACGCGATGTGTACTGTTTTTTGCCATGTCATGTTCATTTCTGGCTACAAATGCAACCCCTTCTTACGGTTGCAGCTAAGTCTCTTGCAGTCGCATCACAATCGTCGTTTATAGTCCTGCCCCGATTGACAGTTCTAAGGCTAAGTATTACTGGTGTCAAGCGAAATCTGCTATTACTAACACCTCTGAAGCAATGTCAGCGGGATACGTAACAGCACGCTGTGTTTGCATGTGTTGCAGAGCGTGCCTGGTTTTACAGGATTACCGTCAACCAGAAGGGCAGTATTTTTATTCTTCACTATTACAGCATACTCCAGTACTAACAACCACAATAGTGAGCATATAGTTTTGCTTGTTTATCAAAGTTTCCATTTCATTTGTTCTTCTAGGTTACATTTCTCAGAACATTATAGCTTATACATTTGTGTAGGCTGTAGTGGGGTAGCCCATAAGGGGTACAACCCAATTAGAATTAGTACTTGTACCCAACTGTTTCATAGTTCATTCATTCCATTCTCACTTCTCGTCATGGTATCGAGCAGGTTCCCGAGTGGGAATACTGCCTAGGGCCCACCACGATTTTTTTTTTTTCCTTCCCTACCCGGAGCGCGCCTAGCTCCTAACCCGAGTAGCGCCTCGAGCCGCCTTAGTGGCCCCTTTTGGCCGCCCTTACTGCCCCTCGAGCCGCCCTCTACGGCCTCGCTTAGGCCCCGCTACGGCCCCGCTTAGGCCCCGTCGGCCCCGCTACGGCCCCGCTTAGGCCCCGCTACGGCCCCGCTACGGCCTCGCTACCGCCCCGTCGGCCCCGCTTAGGCCCCGCTGCGGCCCCGCTACGGCCCCGCTACGGCCCCGTCGGCCCCGCTTAGGCCCCACTACGGCTCCGCTACGGCCCCGTCGGCCCCGCTACGGCCCCGCTTAGGCCCCGACAGCCCCGCTACGGCCCCGCTACGGCCCCGCTACGGCCCCGTCGGCCCCGCTTAGGCCCCGCTACGGCCCCGCTTAGGCCCCGCTACGGCCCCGTCGGCCCCCCTTAGGCCTCGCTACGGCCCCGTCGGCCCCGTCGGCCCCGCTACGGCCCCGCTTAGGCCCCGTCGGCCCCGCTACAGCCCCGCTTAGGCCCCGCTGTGGCCCCGCTACGACCCCACTTCGGCCCCGTCGGCCCCTCTACGGCCCCACTTAGGCCCCACTTCGGCCCCGTCGCCACCGCGGCCCCGCCCACCCTTGCGGCCCGCCGCCACCTGCAACCTCGCCACCACCTGCGACCCCGCCTCCCAGCGCCCGCAACGCCGAGCAGCCGAACCGCCGGCCACCTGAGCCGCCCGACCTCCCGAGCCGCCCAGCAGCCGAGCCGCCCGACAGCCGAGCCACCCAGCACCGTGCAGCCGAGCCGCCCAGCAGCCGAGCCGCCCGACAGCCGAGCCGCCCCGCACCAGCAGCCGAGCCGCCCAGCAGCCGAGCCGCCTAGCAGCCGAGCCGCCCTACAGCCAAGTCGCCCGACAGCCGAGCCGCCGAGCAGCCCGATCGCTCCACCTACCTGGTAAGAGCACAGTCTCTGTCACTCCACTGCCCTGCCTCCTTCTGTTATGGCTTCCCCTAGCGTTCTCACCTTTGATGCTGAGGGTCAGGCAGTGCACTTTGAGGTCTGGGTAGATGATCTGCAGCTTTTCCTGCAGTGCGATAGGGCAGACGGCCTCTCCCTCTTTAACCTCACTTCTGGTGCCTCCCCTGCCCCTGCTGCTGATGCTGACGCCACTGTTCGCTCACAGTGGGCCACACGTGACGCTGCTGCTCGCCTTGCTGTGCGCCGCCACTTACCGACCACTGAGCGTGCACACTTTAGCCAGTACAAGAGTGCTCAGACCTTGTACGACGCTGTAGTTGCACGCTACTCTTCCCCTGCCACTGCTGCACTGAGCCGCCTCATGCTACCGTACCTCTTCCCTGACCTTGCTGCCTTTCCCACTGTTGCTGACCTCAATACGCACCTCCGCACTAGTGGCACTCGCTACCGCACTGCGCTTCCTGCTAAGTTCTGCGCCAAGAACCCCCCCCCCATGTACATCACCCTCTACTACATAGTCACCCGTCTCCCTGACTCTCTCCGTGTAGTCGGGGACCACTTCCTCTCTGTTTGCCCCACCACTCTCACCGTTGACCTCCTCAAGAAGGCCCTCCTAGCGATAGAGAAGAGCATAGTCGCTGTAGGAGCCTCTCGTGGTGACCCTCGCACCCCCGTCTTTGAGGGGTGTTCTCCCTTCCCCCCTCTTGCCCTCTGTTGCCTTTGCTGCTGCGGCCGACCTCGTTGGTTTCGAGTCGGTCGGCGCTGCGTCTCCCCCGAGCGGGAGACGCCGCACCGGCAAGGGCAAGGAGGGCAAGGGCACTGGAGGAGGTGGAGGGGGCGGTGGAGGTGGTGGTGGAGGCGGTGGAGGGAGTGGGGGTGGTGGTGGGAGTGGTGCTGGGGGTGGTGGCGGCGGCGGCAGCAGTGGAGGCGGCGGAGGCGGTGGAGGTGGCGGAGGGAGCGGAGGCGGCGGAGGTAGCGGAGGCGGCGGAGGTAGTGGAGGAGGCGGAGGTGGAGGAGGCGGCGGAGGCAAAGGCGGCGGCGGAGGCGGCGGTGGTGGAGCGAGTCGCGAATCTGCGTTGAGGAGTGGCGCCGGTGGTGGTCAGCGCCAGCAGCAGCAGCGGAGCGGTGTGACCCTGACCCCTCAGCAGCTTCGTGAGTGGTACACTGCACGCCAGTGCGGTGGTGGTTTTGGTCCCTGCTCTTACGTTCTCCGCACTGGTGAGCAGTGCGGGGGTCCACACTCCACCCAGCGCTGCTTTGGTCGCCTGACAGACGCGTGGCGTCGCCAGTTCCCTGAGGCGTCATAGATCCCTCGCTGGGGAGATCTGGCTAAGGCCGGGGGTGCTATCTTTGATCTTGACTTTGACGCTATTCTTGCTGCCATGTATGCTGTTGCTGATAGTGTTGAGGGTGCCTGTTACCTCTGTGTACCGCCTGACCCGGGCATTAAGGCTGCTGCGCTAGGTGCTGGTGAGACTGCTGCTCTAGGTGCTAGTGCGTCTGCTGCCCCAGGTGCCAGTGCGTCTGCCACCCCAGGTGCTGGTAAGTCTGCTCTCTTAGGTACTACGTCGGCTCAGGCCTTCCGCACCTTCACCCTGGACTCGGGTGCGTCCCGCTCCTTCTTTCGAGACCGCACCACTCTTACGCCGCTTAGTCGGCCGGTTGCAGTCTCCCTAGCAGACCCCTCTGGGGGTCCTGTCCTTGCCAGCTTCTCCACTGTCCTTCCGTGCCCTGCAGCCCCCTCTGGCACCCTGTCCGGTCTCTACCTCCCCTCGTTCTCTACGAACTTGGTGAGTGGAGCGGACCTACAAGATCGAGGGGTTGACCAGTTCACTCCTGCGAGTCAGCGAGTGACCCACTGCAGGTGTGCTCGGACAGGCCGACACTTGGCCACGTTCACCCGTCGGCCAGGGTCGAGCCTATACATCCTTACTGCTGAGTCTCCTCCTACTGCTGAGTCTGCCCAGGTAGCTGCGTCGAGTCAGGTGTTTGCTGCGGCGTCTAGGTCTGGTCCTGAGTCTGCCCCCTGCTCGTGTCTGCTCCTCCGACAGAGGCTCCGCTGCAGACTCTACACATGGACGTGTGGGGCCCAGCCCGCGTCAGTGGGCAGGGGAGAGAGCGGTACTTTCTGATGGTCGTTGACGACTACTCGCGTTACACCACAGTCTTTCCCTTGCGCAGCAAGGGTGACGTCACTGAGGTGTTGATCGACTGGATCCGCGCAGCTCGTCTCCAGCTCAGAGAGAGTTTCGGCTCGGACTTTTTTGTTTTGCGTCTGCACTCGGACAGAGGAGGGGAGTTTTCCTCTGCCCGTCTGGGAGCCTTCTGTCGGGCACAGGGTATCCGCCAGACCTTCACGCTTCCGGCCTCTCCACAGCAAAATGGGATTGCTGAGCGCCGCATTGGCATGGTCATGGACGTCGCGCGTACATCCTTGATGCATGCGGCTGCCCCCCATTTTCTGTGGCCGTTTGCGGTTCAGTACGCCGCGCATCAGCTCAACCTTCAGCCCGGGTCTCCTTGCCAGAGACCTGCCTCGCCTTGCGGTGGACAAGGAAGGTTGGCGATGCGTCTGCGTTTCGGGTCTGCGGATCTCGGGCGTTTGTTCGCGACTTGTCTGCGGACAAGCTGTCCCCCCGTGCTGCTCCTTGCGTCTTCCTTGGCTTCCCCCCTGACGCGCCTGGCTGGCAGTTTTACCACCCCACCACGCGCCTTGTTCTGTCCTCCTAGGACGTCACCTTTGAAGAGTCGGTGCCTTACTACCGTCTCTTCCCCTACCGCACTGCGCCCCTCCCCCCGCCGCCGCTCTTCCTTGCGCCAGGTGCTACTCAGGTAGACCCCCTCCCTCCTCAGGGTCCTGCCCCTCCAGGTAGACGCAGTCGAGCCTATCGAGGTAGCTGTAGACTCTGGCGCTGCTAGAGATGCTGAGCCTGCGGGTGCCGGGTCTGCGGGTGCCGGGTCTGGGGGTGCTGAGTCTGGGGGTGCTGAGACTGGAGGTGCTGAGTCTGGGGGTGCGGAGCCCGGGGGTGTTGGGTCTGCTCGTGTGGCCGCCGGCGGTACTTCGTCGAGGCAGGAGCCGCTCTCTCCACAGGAGCTGCGCGTGTGGTTTGCCCGCCGCTGGAGACGTGCTGCTGAGTCTAGGGGTGTTGGCGCTGGTGTTTCTACTGGTGCTGGTGCGTCTGGGGGTGCTGCTGAGGCAGCTAGTGCGGACAATCCGACTGGAGTTGGTGCTGCTGGAGCTGGAGCTGCTGGGGGTGTTGGCGCTGGTGTTTCTACTGGTGCTGGTGCGTCTAGGGGTGCTGCTGAGGCAGCTGGTGCTGAAGTTCCTACTGGAGTTGGTGCTGCTGGAGCTGGAGCTGCTGGGGGTGTTGGCGCTGGCGGTGCTGCTGGCGCTAGTGCTTCTGAGGGTACTGGAGTTGGCGCTGTTGGAGCTGGAGGTTCTGCTGGCGCTGGTGCTACTGCTGGGGGTACTAGTGCCGTACTTGCTGGTTCTAGAGGCGCTGCGCGGCCGAGGCCGTACGTCGTTCCGCTTCTGGAGCAGGTTCTTGGTCTCCCGCCCTCTACTGGTCCTGCTCCTCCCCTAGAGTGTCCACCGCCTGTCCAGTGGCAGTCACAGTTACCGCCCCCCTCCCCTCTACCTGCTCCTTCTCCCTACACTGGTCCTACTAGAGGTCTTGCTGAGCGTCGTGAGCCTGCGTCTCGTCCCGCGTCACCTGTTCGTGCTGCTCGCACTAGTGGTCGTACTGCGCGTCCGCGTCCTCCTGCGGTCCCCGACACACACCAGATGGCACTGCGTCCTTCCACTGCTCCTCTGCGTGTCCCGTTGCCGTCTCCTCCAGAGTCGTCTCTTCCTTCTCTTGCTGACCCGGAGTCTGACTCCCTTCGTGCTGCTAGTCCTTCGGTCACGCGCCTTCTTGCTACTATCGTCACTGACCCTTTCTTTGAGTCTGCTGCTGCGTCTGCTCTTGTTGCTGAGCTTGTCGACTTCGCTGCTCGCTGTCGTCTAGACTACGCTGCCAGTCTTGTTGCTGAGTCTGAGTCTGTCTATCCTCCGTCCGTCGGGGGTGAGTGTGCTCTTAGCACGGACGTCCTTGAGGACAGGCAGGAGGAGTTCCAGTGCTTTGCGGCTGCTTTGCCCCATCTCGTGTCCACGCTAATCACCCCTGAGGGAGACCCGGATGCACTTGACATCCCGACTCCTCGATTGTACGCTGAGGCGATCGAGGGTCCCTACTCCTCTCAGTGGCAGTCGTCCATGGATGCAGAGATGGCTTCCTGGAAGTCCACAGGCACCTACGTCGACGAGGTTCCCCCACCTGGGGCGAACATCGTCAGTGGGATGTGGATCTTCAGGGTGAAGCGGTCGCCGGGCTCTCCGCCTGTCTTCAAGGCGCGTTACGTGGCTCGAGGCTTTAGTCAGTGGCAGGAAGTTGACTACTTTCAGACCTTCTCTCCCACCCCGAAGATGACCACTCTTTGGGGGCTGCTGCACATAGCCACTCAGCGCGACTACGAGCTTCACTCTCTTGACTTCAGCACAACTTTCCTGCAGGGCAGCTTGCACGAGGAGATCTGGCTGCGCCGCCCTCCTGGCTTCACTGGGTCGTTTCCTCCTGGCACCCAGTGGAGCCTCCGGCGGCCAGTCTACGGTCTCCGCCAGGCGCCCCGTGAGTGGCACGACACAGTGAGGACTAAACTTGCGGCTCTTGGGTTTGCTCCTTCTACAGCCGACCCATCGATATTTCTACGTACCGGCACCTCTTTGCCACCGTTCTACATCCTCGTGTACGTCGACGACCTGGTCTTTGCCACTACTGACACTGCTGGACTCGCCCACGTGAAGTCCGAGCTGCAGAAGAGACACACGTGCACAGACCTGGGTGAACTGCGCAGCTACCTTGGCTTGCAGATCACTCGGGACAGAGCACAGTGCACCATTACCCTGACTCAGTCACACATGGTGCAGCAGTTCCTTCAGCGCTTCGGCTTCACGTACTCCTCGCCTCATGCCACTCCTCTGTCTACTCGCCACTCGCTCTCAGCTCAGCCTTCGGATGAGTCCGTAGAGTCGAGTGGCCCGTACCCAGAGCTTGTTGGCTGCCTCATGTACCTGATGACCTGCACTCGACCTGACCTTGCATACCCTCTTAGCATCTTGGCACGCTATGTTGCTCCTGGGAGACACCGACCAGAGCACATGGCTGCAGCGAAGAGGGTGTTGCGCTACGTGTGCAGTACGTCGGGCATGGGGCTAGTGCTTGGAGGGCGACGACGAGTAGTCCTCACAGGTCACGCTGACGCTACTTGGGCTGACGACCACGCTACGCAGCGGTCGTCACAGGGTTACATCTTCAGCCTTGGCTCCGGCTCTGTTTCATGGCGGTCTACCCGCTCGTCTTCTGTTCTCGGCTCCAGCTGTGAGGCTGAGATCTACGCAGGGGCCATGACTGCACAGGAGCTACGCTGGCTCACCTACCTGCTGACTGACCTAGGAGAGCCGCCTCGTTCTCCTCCAGTTCTGTACGTAGACAACAAGGCCATGTTGGCCTTGTGTCAGGAGCACAGACTGGAGCACAGAACGAAACACATTGCTCTCGACTACTTCCTGTCTCGTGAGCTGCAGCAGCATGGTCAGCTGCGCCTTGCTTACGTGGCCTCTTAGGCCAACACTGCTGATATCTTCACCAAGGCCCTTTCGCCTTGTGATCATCAGCGCTTCTGTACTGTGCTAGGTCTTGTGCCTACCTGGCCTCACTTGCTCACTTCTTGATCTTGTTTGTACTGTCTTCTTTCTATACCTGCCCTTGCTTGTTTTACCTTTATATATATGACCTTGCATGTGAACTGGCCTTGTGGCCTTACTCTTGTGCTTGGACTGTGTGGTGACTTTGTGATCCACCCTGAGCTTGCTTTGCTTTGCTTGACTGGTCTTGTGACCACTTGTTCTCCCCCACTTTGCCTATGGGGGTGTGTCAGAACATTATAGCTTATACATTTGTGTAGGCTGTAGTGGGGTAGCCCATAAGGGGTACAACCCAATTAGGGTTAGTAGTTGTACCCAACTGTTTCATAGTTCATCCTTTCCATTCTCACTTCTCGTCATGCTTCACAGAAACTGCTCTAAAAAATTTGTGCGCAAACAAATAAAATAAATGGTATATTTATTAATTTTCCATTTTAAAAATAAAAGTTGGTGTTGCGTTGGTTGGGTAGTTGTAGTTATGTGGAGGATCCAAGGTCGATACCCAACTGTTTCATAGTTCATTCATTCCATTCTCACTTCTCGTCAACATTCGTTTTCTAACTTGCACAGTTTGCAGGGCTCCCTAAGCCGTGCATTATGCGTAGTGTATTACTTTTGCCGAAACTGTACGCTCTTGTACTGTTAAAATTTGTATGCCCTGTAAGATCAACGATTTAGAATATATTATTTCAATTATTACCAGAAACACACACCAATATACCAAAATGGCCAGCCAATGAAATTCGATGCGGCACACCCCATTTCGTGCCGGATTGGCCCACGTAGCACGTTTATGAGCGTCGATATTTTCAAAATCCGACGGTTGACGTTAGCATACAAGAACTGCCACGTCACCCTGTTTCAGTTTCATCTAGCGTACATTGTCTTGAGAAACTGAACGAGAATGGAATGACTAAGGGAAAGTTGGGTACAAGTGCAAACCCTAGAAAGCTGTACCCCATATGTGCTACCCCACTATAGCCTACAATAGCTATGTCATATAAATCAAACACACCCCCATACGCAAAGTGGGGGAGAACAAGGGGTCACAAGTCCAGTCAAGAAAAGCAAAGCAAGCTCAGGGTGGATCACAAAGTCACCACACATTCCGAGCACAAGTTCAAGGCCACAAGGCCAGTTCACATGCAGAATTACATATATATATATAAGGCTAGACAAGCAAGAGCAGGTGTATATATATATATGCAACAGTACAAACAAGGTTAAGGGGTGAGCAAGTGAGGCAAGGTAGGCACAAGACCCAGCTGAGTACAGAAGCGCTGATGATCACAAGGTGCAAGTGCCTTGGTGAAGATATCAGCAGTGTTGGCCTCAGAGGCCACGTACGCAAGGCGCAGGAGACCACGCTGCTGTAGCTCACGAGCAAGGAAGTAGCGGAGAGCAATGTGCTTCGTTCTGTGCTCCAGTCTCTGCTCTCAACACAAGGCCAGCATGGCCTTGTTGTCTACGTACAGCACTGGAGGAGAACGAGGCGGCTCTCCGAGGTGAGTCAGCAGGTAGGTGAGCCAGCGAAGCTCCTGTGCAGCCATGGCCCCGGCGTAGATCTCAGCCTCACAACTGGAGCCGAGAACAGAAGACGAGCGAGTAGCCCGCCACGAAACAGAGCCGGAACCAAGGCTGAAGGTGTAACCCTGTGACGACCGCTGCGTAGCCTGGTCATCAGCCCAAGAAGGGTCTGCGTGCCCTGTGAGGACCACTGGACTCTGCCCTCCAAGCACAAGCCCCACGCCCGACGTACTGCACAAGTAGCGCAACACCCTCTTCGCTGCAGCCATGTGCTCCGGTCTGTGTCTCCCAGGAGCAACATAGTGTGCGAGAATGCTAAGAGGGTATGCAAGGTCAGGTCGTGTGCAGGTCATCAGGTACATGAGGCAGCCAACAAGCTCTGGGTACGGGCCACTCGACTCTACGGACTCATCCGAAGGCAAAGCTGAGAGCGAGTGGCGAGTAGGCAGAGGAGTGGCCTGAGGCGAGGAGTACGTGAAGCCGAAGCACTGAAGGACCTGCTGCACCATGTGTGACTGAGTCAGGGTAATGGTGCGCTGTGCTCTGTCCCGGGTGATCTGCAAGCCAAGGTAGCTGCGCAGTTCACCCAGGTCTGTGCACGTG